TGGGCATTAACGGTTTACGAGACGTGGCTGACACCAACATATAATCAACATTATTGGTATTACGTACTAAGTTCTAAGAACAAATATTACAACAGTAAATCAAGTTATTACTTCTGATAGTTTTTTCTAGGTTGTTTCTGAACTGCGACCGATGACGGCCTGGTTCAGACAACGGGTATTTATATATATATATATATATATATATATATATATATATCAAAAATTTAGCTGTTGAAACATTATTAGCTTGTAGAAGGTCTACGATTTTATATTATATCATACTTGATCGTGCCTGTAAAAATGGCATGTATTTTCATGTAAATTTATTTGTTTATATGAGAATATAGTTTATTTTTTCTTAATACATAGATGTTTCGGTGTGCTACAGGAACGTATGTCATCTTAGGATTAAGCTCGCCAAATTGGTAAAATTATCTGAATGACTACAACCTGATATGATTGCTATCACTGAGACATAGTTGTTAATGTTTGTAGAGTTAACTCCACTCATATCTGGGTACATCTGCATTCAAGCAGACAGAGTAAGTAGTCGGAAATCTGGGAGTTGGTCTACACATCCGGGATGACATAGGGATCAGGTCAACGTTGTCAGAAGCTCATAACAGCGGTACCAGTGAGGCCGCAATTTGAAACATTAACTTGAACAAAGGCACTTTGACGATCGGAGTTATTTACAGAAGTCCTGCTAGCCTAGCTCATGACTTCGTTGCAGATCACTTCAGGGCGTCGGGTAGAAGAAATAAGTGTCTGGTTGTTCGCGACTTTAGTGCTCCACATATTAATTGGGGGAATTAAGCTCCACCGGTCGGTACACCTGTTTCAATAAAGAGCTCTCACTGACAGTGCTTGAATGTGCACTCGTGCAACATATGCATGCACCAACATGATATCACCCGGAGCATTATCCATCTACTCTAGACTTGATATTTACACATCAGAAGAGGGACGCTGGTAACATTAGGTGCCTTCCGCCGCTTGGCATAGTGGACACATACTCATTGCTTTTGCATTTAAGATTCATTATCTCACACACAGTTCAAAATCTGCTCGTCCAAATATTAAGAAAGCGGATATACAGGGAATCCGGAACGCAGCAACTGCAGTTGACTGGTCAGTTGATATAAATCGGATCGCTGAGGAAGCCTGGGTGGGATTTAGGAATACACTAGATCGTGTCACTTCACCTTTTATACCCTGGTACACTCCTCGAAAGCTGTCGCATAAGCCACCTTGGATTACTAGTAAAATAAGGAGGCTATTAAGACAGTGAAAGAACTTACGGGACCAATTTATTATGACAGGAAGGGAAAATTTCCCGAAAGACCACTGCAAAATTCGAAATTTCTGTAAGTATGCGATTAAAAAGAGTCGTATAGAGTACAAGAGACGGCTAGTGCTAGATTGTGTTCATTACCCAAAAAGGCTATACTCAAATATTAACCGTAGGACTAAAACTAGCAGTGGTATACAGCTACTCATAAGCATTAGTGGAGAAGCGGTTGAGTCAGACGTAGAAAAGGCTGAAAAATTCTCTGAATACTTCTATGACGTCCTTTCATCTGATCGTATCACCCAGGGATATGGCAAGACCACTGCTCTCGCCACTCAGATGCCCTCACTTGTGGTGGTGCACACAAAGGTCCTAAAACTACTGTCTAAACTGAAGCCAGGTAAGTCACCTGGGCCCGATGAACTTCACCCTAAACTGTTAATTTCCTTGGCGGATATGATATATATTCCACTTACGGAGATGTTCCATTCGACTTTCAGATGACAGTGGCTACAAACTAAGACACACTAAGGGTACAGTAGCTATCGAACAATGTAAAACAGCTACCAGGCAAAATTTTTATTTGATTAGGTATGCACAGATATGGAATAAACTACCAATGGAAATGCGTAAAGCAGGTACATTGGCCTCATTCAAAAAAGTGCTTAACGACAAATTACACGAGTTTGCAAACGACAGTAGTCCTAGTTCCTATCTGAGAGCCTCCGAAATTATAGGTCCATTTAATATATAAGCTCAAATACTACACCTGTTGTTTTTGCCCATATTTATAATTTTAGATAAAACATTAACGATTAAGATACTTACCCTCAAACAGACAAGAAGTTTCGTTTGTAAAACTTCTACCCAACACAATAAGTGGAATAAAACGGACATAAACCGACAGCATGAAAAAGATATAACTCACCACAACATCACATGGACAGATGTACGCTCGTCGGACATCATATATGCCTCACCAACTACAACCCAACATTCCTGAGATAATGTGATGAACTTATATCCGTAATGTTGCTGAGCAGTTAATATCCACAACTCCTGTCGGAACAACTAAAATTCAAAATCCCTCCTCATGAGAAGTAAACACCCACAAGCAGTAGAAATCCATTAATTAATGCGTCCAAAGCCTATGTATTTTGCTCCCAACAATAACATTGCAGATCAAATGAGTTAAGCAAATCACTGATTTCCAAATAACACAACAATGAACTATAATTCAAGAATTCTGTACACAACAAAATTATGTATGAAAACTGACTTCCAGCTTTATTTTTTTTCCCAGGCACCTATAACCCATCCACCAAAGACCTGGTTTTTTTTTGTTAATGCGAAGACAATACTTCTGTAATTCCTGATGTGTTGCACTCACTGACAATCTAGCGGATTTTTTCAACTATGCGCAGAAATGATTGTACATAAGTGAAAAGGATGTTTTCTATACTACTGGGATTAACATTTATCAAGTGTATGTATAATCTCCAGTGTACATGTTAAACATATTTTGCTATCGACTGTAAATTGTGACTGAATAATATGGTCCTATTTCTGTAACAATTTGATGATGCCTGTAAACTGGCGTCCCTCATGTACTGCATCATGGGAATAAATTTATTTATTTATTTAAATGTCTCTAACCCAGGCTAAGCTATCCAGAGACTGGAAGGATGCCGTTATAAACCCTATCTTCAAAGAGGACAGGCAATTGGTATCTAACTACCGGCCGGTAAGTCTGACATGCATTATAGCAAAGGTATTGTAAACTATTAAAAGGGATCAGCTATTGGCTTATGTTGAAACACACGGCCTGGTGGCTGTGGAACAACTTGGATTCCGACCACGACCATCCTGCCTGACAAACCTACTACTGCCTGGGGAAGACTGGGTTGAGGCCAGAGATAAAAACCTTCTGTTGGACGTGTTTTTTATCGATCTTAGCAAGGCATTCGATAAAGTATCACACTTAGGTCTCCTTAGTAAACCTAAAGGTTTCGGACTAAACCCAAGCCTATGTGAGTGGTTTGAAGATTACCTAACGGATAGGAGGCAGAAGGTTAGAGTTAACGGTGTACTATCAAGGTGGAAGCCGGTATCCAGTGGAGTGGCTCAGGGAACTGTATTAGGCCCTTGATATTCCTATTATGCGTTATTGAACTACCTGGGATTCTTACTTCACCTTCATTATTATTTGCGGACGAAATTAAGATTCGGAAAACTGTAAATAGGAACAAGGAGAGATCGGCTGTACAAACTGATCTAGGTAAATTAGCTGAGTGGTTGAACCTGTGGAGTTCGGAAGTGAATTCTAGGAAAAGCGCGGTAATGCACTTAGGTCAGAAGTCTTTTGTGTCGTACTCCCTAGGGGACACAGAACTACCTGATGTTAACGAACAGAAGGACCTAGGAATCATTTCAGCAGTGATTTGAAAGCAACTGCAAATTACAATGCAGGAGCAGCCAAAGCTTTTCGAGTACTATTGGCACTTCGAAGGGCTTTCAAACGATTAGACGAGGGCATGTTCTAAATACTCTACGCAACATATGTCAGGCCTCATCTAGAATACTGCATACAAGCGACGAGTCCATGCTTCAAAAAGGAGGCACATAGCCTGGAGATAGTACAGAGGGTAGGAACGAAATTGGTTAGTGGTATCACACACCTTCCTTATGATAATAGGATGGAGCATTTAAATCTCCTCCCGTTATCATACCTAAGGAAGAGAGGTGACTTAATTTTAGCATACCGTATACTTAGGGGTGATATATGAACTGACCTTTCTAAACTTTTCTCCCCTTCTAAGATACATTTATGAGGTCATTTCAAAAAGCTGCTCAAACGGAGGACGATTAAAATACGTGCAGAATTTAGATTCTCTCACAGAGTGGCCAACAACTGATCAGAATCACCCAAACAAAGGTGTTCTGCCATTGAGTAGGTATAGGCTTCCACGTGGAAATCCCAGAAGGATAGCTCACCAGAGGACAAGGACCCGGGTGCGCTCCCACTTCTTTTCACTGCGGGTTTGTCGTCCCTGGAATTCCTTGCCGGCAGATGTAGCTATGGCACCGTCTTTGGACGCCTTTAAGCGAAGGCTGGACAACCATGCAGCGATACAAGGACTGCACCCAAATGGCCTATCTCCTTAAAATCGCATTTACCAATCAGGGTAGATAATTAAACTCGTCATTTTACTTCTTCACATTCTCTCGCGTCTTACTCTCCTGACAACTCATTAGTATTATAATTACTATTACTATTATTATTATTACCGATATATATTACTCTTCAAACTTAATGAGCTGACTGTTGTTACGCTTTCCTATTTCCGTTTCTGTCTCTTAGTCTGAATAACTGCACTAATTATATCTATTCTTCTCATTATTACTATCTCTTTTCTCTTGTCGACGATACCGAAGGACTAACTGGCGAAATGATCAACTTCAATCACAGTAGTAACAGTCTTAACATACCTCATACCACAAACCACATAATTAATCCCAGCACTACTCCCTTTGGAGTCAACCAAAGCTACGACAGTCGAGTGGTGGGACTAGCTACGCAGAAGTTTAACGAAGATCAGGAATCTATACCTCACAATCAAGAAGCGAGCACAAAGAAATCAAATTGGTTTATACTAGCTCGTAAAAACGATATTGGATATTGGAACTCCTGATCTATTAAGAAGCGCTTAAATCAAAGAGTGCGTAACTATGTCGGAACGTTCGGAAATGGAACATGTGAGCAGATTCAGTGTAGGCACAATACCTTTGTCTGTGCTCATTGAGTTTATTTCGCAAAAAGTGTATACAGATCTAATGCGTCTTATTGATTTGTGAGTATTCTTGTAGTTAATTCATATTTTAACAGGTTACCAAGCAAAACTGATCTTGAAAAAAAGATAGAGATTGCCACGTTCTTCAGTCGAACGCAGCATATATTTATTCGGCTTGAAGCACTTGTAAAATGGTCCAACAGTGCATCGAAGGTTGACAAGTGTGAGGTATTGTTTCGTCAAAAATTTTAATGTCGTACGTCACCCAGAAAATCTCCAACTTTTTGGAAGAACAAACATTCTTCTTAATTAGCACAGCTAACGCTCTTTCCAGACTTCTCAGAGAAACACTTGTCAGTGCCAGGTAAGTCAGTGACAACGTCTAATTTTTTGTTTGTTTGCAGATTGCCTCCTTTTTCTGTGCTTAGTGCTATAGAGGTTTTCACGAAAAAAGGATACACTCGTCTTCCTAAGTCAATTAAGGTAGTAGTTGAATATTTCCTTTATGGTTTCTAAGAATTGTGCTGTTGTCGAACAATCGATAAATGAAAAAGAAAAACAAGAAGTTTTATTAAATTTGAATAGTTTAATCCAAACTCGTCTTAGCCTTAGTCAAATACCAAATCAATTCCGAAAAATAAAAATAAGTAAATATTGTCAGTTCTCTAGTCGAACTTTTATTTCAGCTAATGGACGTGCCCATTTTCTTGTTCCAAATGAATTCAGTGTAAGTTTTGCGTGGTTTTTGGCTGAAGTTTTTTTAGGTCACATTAACTTTGATGTCAGAAGCACTTGATTTCCCATGGCGAATTCTGGACATCAAGTTTCTAATAAAAGACCCGTTGATGAGTAAGTGAATGAATTATAAATTATGTGTAATATTTTGTCTCAAGCTTAATTGTGTCGGTACTCATACTCTAGGTTTTCATGATGTCCCCTTTATTAATGGTATACTTTACGTGAACCCAGTGGTGTGTGTTTTAGCTTCACTAAATTCTTATTGTGGTGGCTGAATTTTAAATGATTTGTATCAATATTCTAGGAACATGTCTATATTTTTAAAATATCATTAGCTGTATTCCGGAGAGAATAGGTCAGGTCCCCGTAGTCATTATTTAGAATTTTAAACATTGTGATTCAATCTCCTCTCTGCCTACGGTATGACAAGGAGAAGAGATTTAAACTGTCTAGTCTTTCCTCGTATGATAAATTAGTCATGCCAAGAACCATACGTGTTGTCTTCCTTTGAACCCTTTTTAGAATATGTGAATCCCTTTTTAGATAAGGACTGGCTGGCTGCCTGGATGCAGGTTTCCAGTCTTGACCTCACCAGAGATGTATATAAGGAGGTGAACATATCTTTGGTGATTCTAGCTAGTAAAGGCTCTGCGAATTGCCCATAAGGATCTGAAACTACGTGCAGCCACCGCGCGACAGTGTGCTGTAGTTTTTAAGCCGTGGCTAACTATAACACTTAAGTTCAAGTGAATCTGAACTGATGGAAGTGTTATTCCTCTTAGTTTCTTAAATGCGAATAACAGGTTTCAGGGTTGACAGGCTGTTGTCTTCACTCTGTAGTTCCACATTATAAATCTGCAGTAGTCCTGCTTAACGGTTGCGGTCGGCGATATCGAACTTTTCATAACACGATTACAGGACATATTGTCGATTCCAGATGAAATGTTGGTTATTATTATTATTTACTCCTTTACGTTTCCAATGGAACATAGGGCTTCAAACTAGAGACTTGAAGTTTTGGTAGCAGTGTTATTTATTTTTACGGGATGGGATTGCTTCTGGCCTCATGCCGAGCCTTCCCTCTTTATCAGTCTTAGCGAGGTAAAGGAGTGCCTTATCGGCCGGGAATCGAACACCGAACCACATGCTTGCTTGTTCGGCGAGCATTCTACCTCTGTGCCAACGACGCACCTCGGAAATGCTGTGCTGCGTAAATTCTGAATTAAGCTTTTTATATTTGGCGAAATTAATTGTTTTTTTGGAAGCGGTTTGTGATTGACTAAATGCCCCCATGTCATTCGCAAAAAAATATACCCAAATAGGTGAATATGTCCAGTAAAACTGTAACACCAATCACTGTGACTGTTTTGTAATAACCTCACAAAATCTATACTAATTATTACTCCCCAGTTATGTCACAAGTGTAATCTCTACTGTAATATAAATTCCATGGATTTACTCGCCATTAGTCATATTCAATCGGAGTTTTTGTTAATCCTTACAAGTAGATGGTATATTGTAGACAGCCATAGTAATTGCTAAGTCGCGTACAGTTACAAAATGATGTCTGTTCTGAGTACCATGGAGTAACATGGGATCCAGAATCCAATGGGATCAAATGGCGTATGAACCCATATTGGTCACCGGCAACCATGAGAATGCAGCTCCTGACGCTGCTCTGCTGCCTTGCAGATTAGACTCCAAGTCAAAGGCTAGGGGGGGCGGGGTGGTCCCTTTAGAAAATCACCTGCTTCGGTGCTGGGAGCGCGGGCAGTATCTCAGCCCTCACACAGTGTGGCGCATCTTTCTTGGTGCTATATTGTGCCAAGTTTTTTTCTGCGTTTAAATAATAATAACTGTTCTGAGCATGGCAACTTCAGGAGGATGAATACTTAATGCAAACATTGCGCTATTGAGTCTTATGGCCAACTTCCCCTAATTCCCAACTAACAATAAACAGGCACACTGAAGTGAAGTTATATGCATGTCCATTGAGTCAGATCAGCAGGTGTGGCTACGGACCAACAAAGAGATTGGACCTTCACATTTATAGGAAGGAGGAATCAGTTGTGATTAACACAATAATGATTCCATCTGATCCGTTTTATTTTTTCATTAATTTTTTGTACGGATAACAAGCCATTAATATCTTAAGCACTATTATAATCATACTGATTTCTAAACGCATATCATTTGTTTCTATACAATCTCTATAAATACACTTACGTAATCATGATATTGTAGTATGTACCTCAGTATGTATAATGCGTTATATATCTAACAGACAAGTTAGTCATAGATTTTCACACACTACTCAACATATATAGGTAGTTGCTTTTGCAGCCTGTTTTCTAGCAAGGAAAACATCTTTGGACTGTGACCTCCGAAGTCCAGCTGATAATAATAAGCACCAATCATCGCGAAATCGATGTCTAGCTCAATGTATATATATATATATATTACGAGTAGGTCAGGGATTGATATCAGTTAGAAAACCATTGAAAACCAGCCTCAGGGACAGCTGGGAATCATCGGCAGTATGCACCTACTGGGACTCGAACCCAGGACCTTCCATTACAAGGCAAGCTCGTATGCCATTCAGCCACTGGAACCCGATTCCTCAATGGCCAGTCTATGAATTCTACCTTCTACCAATTCATGATTTAGCGCGACCCCAATCAATGTCGTCGGTGGGACATCTATCTTCACACTTGACATATGGATGGACCTCACTGGTCACGATTTCTCACTAGAATTGATTCCAGGAAACTCCATGCTGTAACAAGTCACTGGCGAGCATCAGATTAATCTTCTATAGTTTGGTTTGTAAGGGTTAGTTATGTTTTTACAAGTTGATCACGGATTGATATATCGGAATGATTCCCAAACTAGGCTGATGAATCAGCTTTCTGCAAGTACTTCCTGTGGCTGGTTTTCAATGGTTCTCTAACTGATATCAATCCGTGATCTACTCGTAAAAACATAACTAACCCTTACAAACCAAACTATATAATATATATATATATATATATATATATATATATATATATATATATATATATATATATATATATATAAAGTTTGGTGTCCACCTACTTTTTAAGACAAATGTAATGGCCTTTTGTGCTCATTGTTAAGTTGATTTTTGGAGGTTTTGGGGTATATGCTAGGGCTGTGTGTATCTACTACGTGATTGTGAGAGACAGGTTGTAAGACACGATCATGTATGTGTTTGTTTATATCATATCATATCTTCCAGTATCTTGCAGATGCCTTTTACAATAATGATTCATCCTTCTGTACTAGTTTGTTTATTAGACGTATCACCATACACTCAGTGAAACAGTATTAGTATTTAATGGATGACAAAGTTTCCAGCACAATTCATTATTGCTGTCCATAATCATACACATCACCAATTATAATCACACGACTTCGAAACTTGAATTTTATAGTTTTCTTTGTTCACTCTCCTATTTGTCGGCATTGGTCTGTCTGTTTTCGATGTAGAACTTTGCACATATGTGCACCAGTTCAAGTCGCCACACTCCATGTAGCACACAAAGCAAGAGAAGATAGTAGGAGAAATGCATAATGGAGACAGTAGACAGGGGTATGAGACAAAAAGAATAGTAATATCAAAGAACAATATAGTTTCATTGGGTGTTATAAGTTACAAGGAGTGGATGCATCTGCGCCAGCCAACCATTGAGAACGATGAGTTTGAGCCATATCACCAATTGTTTCCAGCCTTCATTAGTTTTTACCGTCCCGAGGACCCCAACCAGTCAGGAAGCCAGTCTACACCTTCCTACTTGGCTCAGACTAACTGTTGTGGATCACATTGACTGGTGCCATGTTTTGGTCTTTGGAGTAGCAGGACTTTCCAGATATCTGGGTGGATAAATGTTGAATTATTCCTACTACACGTGTTGGTTTGCAGTTGATTCGATGAACAAAGCTTCTGTTATCAATCTTCCCCACTCGTCACCCTGTGACATTAGATTTTAAAACTGTCATCTTATCCTATGTATGGTAGGATATGTGTAACTGCATGTAGTGGTTGCGATAGCTGAACTTTTCTCTAGATTTCTTATCATTCAGGTGAACCAATTTAGATTTCGCTGCTACGTTTTTATGCTGCTTGGTTAGTCTGACCTCACTGACGCTGTTCTATTACTTTGACCTATGTATTTGACCTGACGATCATCGCAGGCAGGGGATTAGATAAACTAAATTGTTTAGTTTTAAAGGCTCCACCGTCAGGATTGATCCTTTAACCGACAAAGCTTGTTTCTAATTGAGTTTGTGGTTGGTCTGAATTCCAGCCACTTTTATTCCTGCCTGCCTTGTTAAGAATTCTCCGCTGTAAGGATTCCATGGTTCCGTTTCTTGTATGGAATTACTACTGATGATTTAGATTCCTTATTGTTGGTGTTGTCTTGCGCATGTTTGACATGCATGTCGTCATTAATATTATTATTATCACTATGACTACTATCATTATTTTATTTTCACATTTCCCTACATACTTCCTGACTAATTTATCCGGGTAGTTATTAAGTTTCAAGGCTTCTTTTATATGTATGACTTCCTGTCTTAGATTTTTCTTGTGTGATACACCTAATAAACAAACTAATATGCAATAACTTACTACCACCGCCACAGGGCCCAAGTTTTACACACATATATTAATTCATCCCTCTAATTGCCCCCGTGAATCCTTTGCCTGGTGTAATGATATTATATTGTATTATAATGATATTATTATATTATATTGCAGGAGGTAGTTTCTTAACTGGTTCTAACTACTGTCAGCATTCAATCGATATTTGCGTAGCGTAATAGGATAGCTAAAAAATAGTTTTGGAGCCATTACACAATGCAAAGCTAGTTAAAATAGTATTTGACTGACCCTACTACAAAACGATACCCTAATTTATGTGTGGCACAAAAGCTTGTATATGCCGATGCGCATTATTTATTAAT